CCAATAAGGATTTTAATTCTATCAAAATCTGTTGTTGAATTTCTTCCTTATCTCACAATGTTCACTTTCCTACTCGACTTTTTGTTGTTGTTGTTAATCCTTGATATTTTTCCCATTGCTTTTCAGAGAGAGTGGAAGGGAGGGAGAGGGAGAGAGAGAGGAAGAAGGAGAGGGAGAGAGAGAGGGGGTAGGAGAGAGAGAAAGAGAGAGAGAGAGAGAGAGAGAGAGAGAGAGATCAATGAGAGAGAGACACATCCACTGGTTGCCTCCTGCATGCCCCCTATCTGGGGCACAAACCTGCATACTAGGTATGTGCCGTTGACTGGGAATGGAACCCTCGACCCTTTAGTGCCCGAGCCAAAGCTCTATCACTCAGTCACACCAGCAAGGGCAGCTTCTTTTTTAATCTCACTTTGTCTTAGAACCTCAGTTTGTTCTCTCCTTGCAAGCTTTCTAGTTCTGTTTCATAAGGCCACAGCTTTTGCATGTTTCCTGTTCATACAGAATGTCCAATGTGCCAGGCACTGTTCTAAATCTTTTACACACATTAACTCATTAAATCCTTGTATCGTCCTGGGTTAGATTTGGCCAATAAGAGCCTCATTAGATTTTGAAAACAGAAGTGAAATAGATGCCTCTATTTTCCATGTAAAGCCAGACACGTGGGCAGACAAAGAATTCCCAGTGACTTTGCAGCAAGCTTTTCATATTTAGACAACAGTCATTTGAGATTCCTCAAAAGGTGAGCTAATAAACTAGAGGAAAGCAAAACCTCCACCAAAACTGTCCTTACAGTGAAGTTCAAGTACTTGGAGATGTGAACATTGAGCGCTGAGGGATGTCAGCCAAGATGGGAGCCACAGACAGACACTTGCTGGGGCTGAGGGCAGGGTGAGCAGACAGACTCACAGAAACCAAATGCAACTGGCCCAGAAACATTCATCTCTTTGCTACTCCGGTGAAGGTTACCATGATTCTTAGTGAGAAGAAACTAGAGAGGATATGTATTTTTTAATTTTGTGGAACAGAAGTTGTCATTATCAAAAAATACCTGTATCATCATTATAAATTCTCACATTAGAAAAACTCTCCAGGTATCACCAAAGGGGCACACACACTGGAAAGTCTAGGCTTACTTCTGCCTGAGCAAACTGTACTTAAAAATTTATTGAATTATAAATATTTTATAAGATAATGTAAACCTTTTAAGTATAAGTAAATGGAGGATCTGATATTAAATAGGAAAAAAATAAAAGTTTTCAATCTTCTAAAAAAGGAAGTAACATATGGAGTTGTATCTAGAACAGTTTACCATTATTATTATTATTGTCAGTTTATAAGAGCATTTTAGAGTTGACTAAGTTTTCTTAGTCATGGTTATCATCACCACAATCCTGTGAAGAAGGCAGAACAGATAATACTAACTATTCTGTCTTAGAGATGAACAAAATACTAATACACCTAGTTTGATGCTAAATCCTAAAGCACTATTATTGTAAGTCACATCAAGGAACCACATAAAGCCGGAAATGTTTTCCTAGCATCGTTTTTCCTGATTTTTCTTTAAGTTTTTTTTCATTTTCTGATGAAATAGAAATTTTGTCTACTGATAAGTTTTTATTAACATTAAGAAACTACATATATCATTCTTGAAAGGAACATTAAGTCTCTTGCTTCCCCGGCTGAATACGTCTTTCTAATGCACACTGAATTGATTAACAATATGGTGTTTTGGAAAAGTTTACCACTCCAATTTCATGACAAGTCTATACAGACCACATTCCTTATAAAACTTAAAATGGCAGCTTAAAATTTGTTTGCCTTACTTCAGAACTATTGGAGTTTTTGTCTCTGGTAAGATTGATGAGAACTAATAATGTTACTGGGGTTTTCATTACAAGCCCATCTTTAGGGAAAAGCAACAGAATAGAAACCTCCAGTTTCTCTAATTACATTAGAAAAATTTGGCAGGGGTACATCCCTTAAGATAAAAAAGGATTTAGATTGGCTCTTTTTTTATGATAATAAAAAATGATAATCATTTTTTTATTATCATATCAGCAATAAGAGTTCGGGAAGTTTTTGAATATGCCCTTCTGACCTAAATGCTCCTTAGTATAAATTTTATATGGATTTGGACTTTAATATAGTCTTACTTCTTTAGATTGTTTTTGAATTAACTGCGATAGCACTGTAAATTCCTAAATCACCCTTGAAAACTGGAGAGGGACTAACTAGGACTAACATTTTATGGAGTGGCTCTTCCGCAGAGCCCTTCACAAATGTCATCTCATTTAATACTTGCAGCCCTAATGAGATAAAGATCATTGCCCCGATTTTAAGATGAGAAAACCGGGAGTTGGAGATATTAGTAACTTGTCCAAGGTCATGCAAGCAAGTGGCAAAGCAAGCATTTTAGCTCTGATTTGACTCCAGATTCCCTTTCTATTGTATGCTACAGTGGAGGATATTGAGAAATATGTTTTTCTTGTTTCATGATCACTGAGTTTGGTGGTGACAAAGGAGATTAATTGCCCCCAAATGCTCTTCTCCTTGGAACGCTCAGTTATTCAGAGGGGAAAATTTAGTTGGCCGGTCCCACAGAATCCTCTCCCCATCCTCTTCTGCTTACACACATCTACATCTCTAGAGGTAGAAGGTGAGAAAGGTTCTGAAACAAAAAGGTTCCCTGTGAACCATGGATAAATATTGTAGTAAAAGGTCTGAGTGGAAAGAAGGCAGAAGTTAAAAACATTGAACTATCGTTGTCCCAGTTTTTTGTGTCTCTCTAACAGCTACTCAAACGCCGACTTGATTTGGATGGAAACATAAAGAAAGGTAAGCAACGATGCCGACTTGCATTGTTTCTAGGTTAATTAGTTGCACATGTGGCAACACATTTGATTTTAAATTAAATCAAGTGATTTATAGGCTTAGTGCGAAGTCACAGACCACGTTAGGAAGGGTAATTCTATTAGTAAATTCCCTGCCCATGAGCATCATTAGACTGAAGGAGGCAGGGTTGTCTCTCGTGGTGATTCGGTGGCCTCACCAGCTGAACCACAAGGTAGCTGTACTTGCTCTCCTCGCGGCTTTCCAGACCTGCGTTTAAATTTCATATTGCAAGGACAACAAGTGTATTATTCTAAGTGCCTTGACTCTAGAGGAATAGCAACTACTTCACAGACAGAACACAAATATCCTTCTCACTTTAAATCTGAGTAAATAGTCTTAAACACTTTCTAAATCCTATTATATGTACAAACTTTGCATGAAAAGGTTGAGCTGGTTAGGCAGAGGAGTGTAAGTAAACACACCCTTCTCCCATAAGTACACAGTATTGAACGGAGGAAAGGGCTTTATACTCTGTTCCCTCAACCCCTCAATCAAAGACCTTTGAAAAGAAAAGGCAGACTTAAAATAATAACCCCAGTTCTATGATAAGGAACTTCCGTATTTGAATTTCATTGAATTATAGAGTCAGAAGGGCCTCCCGAGGATCCTTGCAGTACGGCCCCCTCCCCAACCTACCCCCACCACCTTCTTCTTTCCTGCAGTGCACTGGAGCCGCTGATCTGAATTCTGATGACAACCTATTTGGTGCCCATTTTAAAAACTTCATTTAAAATCTTGACCAATAACTAGTGACCTTTAAGAGGGAGGCAGCAGGGCCTAAAAGAAAGAGCAAACCCAGGGCTTTGATTCTTTAGTCTCATTTTTCTCATCTACAAAATGGGAACCGGAACTGGGATTTTGTGAGAACTGGCCATGATCAAAGTCTTGGCACAGTTCTGCTACACAGCAGTGCTGGCTAAGAGGTAGTTATTATGATTATTATAGTCATTCTGTAAGCAAACTGTTCTTATAAAGCATCCCCTTAAAATGACCTTGCTGGTAATAACAGACATGCAGCTTCTTCATCTCTTATCAATCTCAAACCATCAAGGAAAAGTGCTTTGGTATTGGCATCTGTTTATACATTTGGATTAAAACGTAAAACCTCACTCAGTTTTTACTTAAGCATTGACCTACTGCAATTTAATATCAGAAAACTGCTGCCATCCTGCAAAGAGACACTCTGCGCAGCTGGGGCTCTGGGAGCACAGATCTGCAAAGCACCTTTAGTAAGAGAACTAAGTGGTGGGACAGACCCGTGTGAGATGACAAAGATGTTTCAGGTATTTTTTACAAAAGGGAGTTTCTTGACCCAACTAGGACAGACGCTTTATCTTAACTGATTCTAACCAATAAAGAACCTGGCAAATAATTTTTATATTCCTTCTAGAAAGCAGAGAATTCATGATGGGGAGATAAATAAGCTTTCCCTGAGATTTCGGGAAGAAATATTTCTTCCAGGCCACCATGAGAGTGGTGGCAACTGAGCAAACGCGTGAAAGCTCTGATGTACCTCCTGACTTAAAACCAAAGAGAGATTCGTTTTCTATAGACTCACTTCCTCCCTCTCAGCTTCTGCTTCTAAGCCAGCCATTAGGCATCTATTGATTTCCTATTCTCTGTGGGTCTTTAGTTTGACACGCTGCCCCCACAAGCATTCCAAAAGAAACAGGAGTGGGGGACAATCTCGCTAGCATCTGTGAATGAGTCTTCCCGGGACCACTGATTTGCAGCACTCTTTCTCCCAATTCTTCTGCAATCCTAGGCAGGAAAACATGGGAGCTTCGCCATCAAGTCAAGGAATTTCTAAAAATTCTAATAACCCAATAGGTCCAAAGGATCCATGTGTGTCTTGTTCAAAGCAGAATTTCCAATGCCTGCAAGTGCCTGGCATTTTAAAGGCATTCCAGGAGGTTTTAATAACTGTTAATGGAATAATTCAGATATCTTTCTTACTGAACACAGAGAGATAAAAAGAAAAGAAAATTTAAAGTCATTTTTTTAAAAGGGAGTGTCATAATATTTAAATTTCAACAAAATATCCATTAGCCTCACGGTGGGTCAACCACAGTTTTCCAGAAAGTCGTGGGGAGTGGCTTCCTTACATTGCTCTGGTGTTTATTGACCTCCATGGCATGTTTGATCTCAGGTGGCTCCTTCATATGGGTGTAATCTGAGAGTCCTCTGGCAGCATCATGTTTCTGCTTGTAGGCGATCTTTAAAAAAAAAAAAAAAAAAAACACACACACACAATAAACCATTACTCTCATTTAGAAGTGCATTAAGTTTTTACCTGTTAAATTTCAGAGTTTTGCTAGGATTTTGTATATTTGAATATCACAACTGTTGGCCAAATTTGCCTGAGTCTCTATAACAAGACAATATACATAACATTTTCATTTTAGTGTTTCAATTTAGACTCCTAATTCTAAATCTTTGTCGCTTATTTCAAAAGTCGTTGACCATAGGCTGAAATCCCAACCCTCGTGTTCATCCAGTTTAAATCTCAGCTACAATTGTGGGAAACCTCCCACACCCAAGAGCGGTTAGGGTTCTAAATGTTCAAGGTCTGAGTCTTGGGAAAGCAACTGACAAAGTGGGGGAAATGATCAGATATTTAAAAGTGAATTTTTCATTTTTCAAATAATTGTTATGATTTGATGAAGACCCAGCTATAATATTTAAATGCCTTAACCTGTGGGAGAAAATAGAATGCAGGCAAAAAAATCTCAGATATGTCAAGCCCAGTCCTCCGTTAGAGAAAGAAGCATCATACCAACATATCCATCACCACCAAGTTAACTTTGTTCTGTACTGAGAAGGCATGAGTGTGATTACTTCAGAAGCAACCAAACTCGACAGAAGAGTTAGAAATTAAAGATCTAGAAGACAGCAAACAAATTATCCCCTTACTCTTAGCCTATGCCATTATCCTATTTATTTCCTTCAGAATTTTTAGTTACTGTGCTTCCTTTATGTCATTTCTTTTCTGTCTGCTCTTACTAGAACATAACTGTCCGGTTCACTGAAGGCTCAGAACCCCAAATACTGTCTGGCACAAAGTAGACAGTAATAAATATTTGCTCAAGTGAATAAAAAATGAAATTAATAACTGAATGAATGAGAATAAAACAGGAATAAATTATTCCAAAGTTAATATTAAATATTTATCAAAGGTTTAATAATAAAAAATATTAAATGGAATTACAATTACTTAGCCCAAGAGAATAAAGTAGCCTTAAAAAGAAAGATTAGAACAGTGTTAATCAAGAACAAAACAAAATCTAATTTTCAATGAAAAAGAATTAAAGTTAAACTTAGGGAAAATTTTTTTACCCATATGATTTCCTTGAGAGCTATGCCTGTATCATACACATGTTTTAATATCCTGTGCCAATCACAGTGAATGACAAAGAGTAGAAAGGAAATAAATGTTTAGTGAATGAATAAATTAATTAAATATTCTCATGAACTTAAACTCCTCATAGTCTTTAATAAACAGAATTAATCACCCATTTGACTTAGATAACATACTTGTCTAGAGGATTAAAGTAATAATTAAATATTTAAAAAATAAAATCATCAACTATAACCACACAAAAAAAGAAAGAACAACTATCAGTGTTTAAATACCTTCTCTGCTTCCTCTACTAAGTTTTTCTTGATAACTAATAAGAGAGAACTCAATCTGGGGCATCACAGCCTCTAAATTTTGAAAGCTGTGATAAAAATTTCTTCTTTCAATGAAATCTAACTCTACCTGCGCATAGCTGCATCTATTTGGCCATACAGGTGGAGTCTAGTTCACAAGGCAGAACTTTAAACAGGGCAACATAGCTGTCTATAACTTCCCTTCTTCCAGACTGTGTGCATTGAAGCACTGAACCCCTATCCTCCGCACAAATTCCAATTTATCCATCTCTTTCTTAAGGTGCCCACATGTTCCAGACCTATTCTCATTAGAATTATTCAACTTAACCCAGACTACCATCTCTCATGTGCTGTATGTGATTAATGCAGCCACAGATTACACTGTTTCCTTTTGATGGTTGTGTTGAGATTCCTGTCAACACCCTTAAGTCTTGTTCAGTCTCACCCAGCCCTGTCCCCACATCCAATCCTGCATCTCTGGTTGATTATTAGGGCTCACATGCAGCACCTCACCTTAGCCCAGGGATCATTCATCTTGTCAGAGCCTGTCCAGTGACTTAATCCATCAGGATATCTAACTCTGGTAAACATATCTTTCCATTTTTCACCAATTAATTATGTTAAACAGGAAACCCATTAAGAACCTTCATCTGGGTTGAGAAAGTCTATTATCTTAATTCCATTATATTCTATATTATATCTTGGGGTGGGGGAAGGGGAAGTTAATGAGGGGCTAAGTCTATTAAGCCAGGAAAAGAAAACTTCTATGAAATATGTTCCTTCTACTTAAATAAAAAGAGCTAGTATGTGCCTGTCTCCTTTTTGCTAGATGCCTGGTTTATTTTGCATCTTAGACTGACTATTACACTTGGGACTTTATAAACATAACCAATACAGCTGATCATTTTGTGGGTTATCATAGAAATGGTGAGTCATCAAACATGGTTTTAAAAAGCACTCTTTGTTAAAAAGAGCTATGTTATTTTCTACTTGCAGCATTAAAACAGTCATTTCATTTCATGTATAGCTGCTACTAAGCACCACTTCAGAATTCAAATTAGATCAACTTGGAGGTGGCTGAACTTTCATTTATCATATTAATGTTCATCTTTAAAATAGCTAATGGAAAATTATATCAAGCTAATAAATTTCCTGATGAATTTGATTTCCTAGGATTTGTCATTGTTGTGTGGCATTTCCCTAGATTAGCACTTGTTTCCTTCATACCCTGAGAATTAAGATGGCTGTGGTACTTACGGACACCTACCTCATGGAGGATACTTGCGATAGTCTTACATACTTTATATATAAACTAGTAACCAGTGCATGGATTTGTGCACATTGAAAGGAAATTAATTAGAAGAAATATTTTAATATCGTTATTTGCCCTTTCTCTATAATAGAAATGTCAACCAAATTCACAATCGACAATGATAGATCGAAACACGCACGTCCGACAGGCGCCAGCAAGAGCTTTATATGTATTGCACATGTGTGAGTCAACGTTTATTTTTAAATTGCCAGTGCATGTCATATGTACTGGCCGGTTGGTCAGTCAGATGGTCGGACGGACAGATGGATGGTCAGTCACTTAGCCTTTTATATATAGAGAGATATGCTTATATAAATAATCTATTTATGTAAAATCCTAATATGCAAATCGACCGAACGGCAGAATAGCTGGTGGAATGACTGGTCGCTATGATGCACATTGACCACCAGGGGGCAGATGCTCAACACGGGAGCTGCCCCCAGCCTCCAGGCCCCAACCAGTGGCGGCAGGAGGTGAGGGGTGGGGGCTGGTGTGCTGGCAGTGCCAGGCCAGCCAGGGCAGGTTTTGAGCAGGGGCCCTGATCACCCCACCCCACCAGTCACCCATACATTGGCCCTGATCACCAGCTAAGCCTAGGGACCCTACCTGTGCAGGAATTTCATGCACTGGACCTCCAGTATGTGTATATTTATCTTACTTATTTGATCACATAGTATATCTTTATATCTCATATATACATATATAAGATGTGCATACATTTCTAACTTACATTATATTTTATAACTATCACATAGGTATATGTTCTTCTAACTGATAGCACAGATATCTCTGATGCTCCTGAAACAGGACCTTGTGGCCACTATAGATAAAAACATAGGCTCTCATAAACCCCCTGGAACAGATGCCTGAGTAGCCTGTATTACTTCTGTGATAAGGGATGACTTAGCCTCCGCCTGAAACAGCCCTGGAGAGAAGGATTTCACTGCTTTATGCCCCAATCCATCCATTTCCAGAAGCTTTCTTTTATGATCTGTGTTTATAACATTTTTAATGATGAATCTATATATATAAAAGGCTAATATGCAAAGTGGCCCCACAGGAGTTCGACCAGGAGACCTGGAGTTTGATCACTCGCTATGACGTGTGCTGATCAACAGGGGGAGGCATGGAATGAAGGAAGGCCCCAGCCGGCAGCCAGCAGCTGGAAGCCAGAAAAGGGAGACCCCAGCCGGCAGCCAGGAGGCCCCGATTGGCCCTGATCGCTGGTCAGGCCTAAGGGCCCTATCTGTGCATGAATTTCATTCATTGAGTCTCTAGTATATAATAAAATGGCTTCCTAAAATCTCCACATCTCTCTCTTTTTTTAAAGGCACATCTTTCTATTAGTCATTTTCTATAAGGAATATTAATCTAGATAACTTCACTTTATCACTCTAGTTTGGTTTTAAGATAATATTTTGTTCCAGTATCAAAAGTTTAGATTTTCATTAGAACCCAGAAAGCCATTAAATTTCAAATTTGGCTAATACTCTAATTTACACTATTTGGACACAGTAAAAGGTTAGGGTTGTTTTGTTTTGTTTTGTTTTGTTTTGTTTTTGCAGACACTGTCAAATCATTTTACTTTATTGACTGTCTTATTACCAGGTTAGCTTTGAGGACTGCAATTTTAAAAGTAATAACATTGATGTATGTAAGACTAAAGAAATGTTATTATAATTACATAAAAATCTTTGAACTAGACACCTTATTCAGGGTCTATGTTTTTCCTTATCAACAAGTTTAGAGACTAATTACAACACTGGGTAGTGTTGCTCCTTAAGAGCACAAACCTATCTTTCCCAGGGTGCATGTTCTACTGCAGGATAACAGGTATTAGCCAAGGACGTGATGAACTATTCTTGAAAAAGCACACACGCCGGATTCCTAAATATACAACATGGATTATTTTTAAGTTCTGTGTTGCACATATTTGTGTACTATAGATCTACTGATGCTATAAAAGATGAGAAAAGTTGTACACTGCCTAAGTAATAAAGATGTATATTTGAAAAATGTTACCTTCTCAAGTAAGTATAAAAAAATAATTTTTTTTCTTTTCCTTCTTTATTATTATTGTCACATAAGTGTTGTATTATAATTATTTGCTTTTTAAAGTAGTCCATATTATCAGCAAGTGGCTAGGTGACTAGATTTGGGCAGCAGAAAAAGAAAAAAAGAGGGCATATTAGTCACAGTCAGCCATGTGAAACTTTAACATCATATATTTTTAGCCTCATGTTGCACAGCTGAGATTAGCTTACTGCCAAGTTGGGTACATAGTGGACATTTAACTTTGTAATAATGAAGGACTTAAAGAGGTTAAGCAAAGGATAACTATGCTCAGAATTTTTCAAGAGTAATCTATTTTCAGACTATTTAAAAGTTATCTAGGTATCCTCTACTTAAAAGATTCCAGAGAAAAAAGTAAACTTGTTTAGCCCAGCCAGTGTGGCTCAGTGGTTGAGTGTTGACCTATGAACCAGGAATTCATGGTTCCTTTCCTGGTCAGAGCACATACCCAGGTTGTGGGCTCAATGGATCATGCAGGAGGCAGCTGATCAATAAATCTCTCTCATCATTGAGATTCCCTCTCTCTTCCTCTCTGAAATCAATAAAAAATATATATATATTTTTAAAAAGTAAATTTGTTTAATAAGAAAAAGAGGAGTAGAGATGGTAAGAAAGAGGTGGTACAGTGTGTGGTTAAGAAATGAGACTCTGGAGCCAGACAGTCCATGTTCATTCTCTAGCTCGGCCATTTATTGACTGTGTAACCTAGGGCAAATTACTTAACTTCTGTGCTTCAGTTTTCACATCTCCAAAATGGGAATATCTCATAGAGTGCTTGTGATGATTAAATGATATAAATATTTATGAAATGCATAGAACAGTATCTGACATATAGTAAGCACTTCTATGTGTCTACTATTATTTTTAACCTAAAATGTAGCATGAAAAATATAAATTATGTAAAATAAAACATTTCCTTGGAAAGGAAATCAACAAACTGAATAAAAATCAATTTTACAAGTATTTACTGAACATTTCCTATGTGCCAGAGACTGTTCTAAGCACAGAGGTGGAACAGAAAACAAGACAGATAAGGTCCCTGCTCTCATATCACTTAAGGAACCAAATAACAGATTAACAAAGTAAAAATAATCAGATTGTGCTATGAAAAACACAAAACAATAAGATGAGTGAGAAAGAGGTGAAATACTCTATTTATAAATTCTGTCTTAAGAAATACAACACATTAAATGGATTAAGTATTCCTTATGTGTTGATGTATTATAAAGGGAAAATTACTCCTAAACACCTGTGAATTCAACATGAATTTACACGTTGACAGTTCTTAAGTTCATCTGCAACGGGCCATCACCAAAATGGCCACTTCCACCTGATGGAGGCTCTTTCTGGTAGCCTGAGGTATTCTAAATAAAAAACACAATGAAACTTTCATGTTTTATTCAATACTAGAGGCCCACTGCACAAAATTCGTGCACTGGTAGGGTCCCTAGCAGCTGCCAGCTGCCGCTGCCCGGGCCTCTCTCCCTTCCCCTGGCCAGCCCTACCCCCTGGTCGAACTCCTGGATAACTCCCCGTCAAGGGGACAATTTGCATATTATGCTTTTATTATATAGGACTAGAGGCCCAGTGCATGGAATTCATGCATTGGTGCGGTCACTAGGCCTGGCCGGCAATTGAAGCTCGAGTGTCTGGTGTGGAAGGGCAGGTCCCAGCGGACCTCTAGGCCCTGGGCAGCACATGGGCCCCTGGGCCCCAGCGTCCCCCCCTCAGCACCTGGGAGCCAGGCGGCAGCCCCACCCCCTGCCACTGTCACTGGTCGCCGTCTGTGAGGTGATCGAGCCCCGCTCATACCCTCCTTGGGCTGGCACTGCTAGCTCACCTGCTCCACCATCCCGCCATGGTCCCACTCTCATCAGGGCCCATAGGGGCCGGCAGCGCCTCCACTACTGCCTGCTGCCAGCATCCTGTCACAGACGCCGCCATGTTCCACACTGCTCCCTGGTGGTCAGCACACATCATAGCGAGCAGTCGAACTCCCGGTTGAGAGGACTATTTGCATATTAGGCTTTTATTATATAGGACTAGAGGTCTGGTGCACAGATTCATGCACATTGAAAGTAAATTAATTAGAAGATGGCTGGCAGGGCTGGACTGGGCGAGACGGGCTGGATATGTCCTGGAGCCAAGTTCCAATGTTCCCTCCCCAGCCAGCCACACCTGGGGCAGCGCCTGGGCTCGAAGAGCATCTGTGGAGTGAGCGGGATCCCTCTGGCAGATGGGGTCCCTCAGCCTGGCCTGCTGGGATCAGACCCAAACCGGCAGTCCGACATCCCCTGAGGGGTCCTGGAGTGCGAGAGGGTGCTCTGCAAAGTTGCTGTCACTTGGCAGCTCCTGCATTGAGCATCTGCCCCTTGATGGTCAGTGCACGTCATAGCTACCAGCCGGTGGGCCGATAGGCCGGTTGCTTAGCCTTTTATATATATAGACTAGAAGCCCAGTGCAAAAAATTAGTGCATGGGGGTGGGGGGCGGGGGTGTGTGTCCCTCAGACCAGCCTGCATCCTCTCCAATCTGGGACCCCTCGAGGGATGTCTGACTGCCCGTTTAGGCCCGATCCCAGGTGGGCCTAAATGGGCAGTCGGACATCCCTCTCACAATCCAGGACTGCTGGCTCCCAAAGCTCGCCTGTCTGCCAGCGTGATTACCCCCTAACTGCTCCCCTGCTGGCCTGGTCACCCCCAACTGCCCTCTCCTGCCAGCCTGACTGCCCCTAAGTGCCCTACCCCGCTGGCCTTGTTGCCCCCAACTGCCCTCCCCTGCCAGCCTTGTCCCTCCCAACTGCCATCCCCTGCCGGCCTGATCACCCACAACTGCCCTCCCCTGCCGGCCATCTTATGTCCACATGGGGCAGCCATCTTGTGTTGGAGTGCTGGTCAATTTGCATATTACCTCTTTATTATATAGGATGTGGTACTCAAGATAAACAACTTTTTAAAATGCTGAATAATTTATATTAGGTTATCTTTTTTATCCACATAATTATCTAACAGTTTAGGGAAAGCACACCTTACTCTGAAGCTGTGTGACTTCTCTTGCGAAGACACTGTCAATTGTGGCTGGCATCTGCTTATAGAGAGAATTTGAGAGGTCCGCCTTAGTGGTACCTTTGTATTTTGCCTAGGGAGGGAAAAAAATAAAAAAAAAATAAGTAAACAGTCCTCTTTTTTACTGTGAATATTAAAAGTGAATAAAAAGAAACTTTCTTCAGAAACAGAATATAAAAATCTGAAGAGCATTTTAATCCTGGACCTGACAAACATCTTTTGAAGAAACACAAATCCAGTTTACCATGGAGAAAGCTTTAAACCAGACACACAAGAAAAAAAATGACTACTTAAACCATGTGCATTTCTAAACGTAAATCTATTTGTGCTTATCAAGAGTTTCATCTGTTTGATCAGTGAAGAAAAACTGGAGAGCAATGAGACATTTGAGTTGCTCCATAAGATACAAGTTGTTATGTCCTCCTGTCTAGAACCCGAATGCAGCCCTCAGTGGCTGGAGCGTCGGCCTGCGGACTGAAGGGTCCTGGGTTTGATTCCGGTCAAGGGCACATGCCCAGGTTGTGGGCTCAATCCCCACTAGGGGGCATGCAAGAGGCAGCCAATCAATGACTCATCATTGATGTTTCTATCTCTCTCTCCCTCTCCCTTCCTCTCTGAAATCAATAAAAATATATTTTTAAAAACAAATTCTATAGAACCTTAATGCAAAGAACAGAGCTCCTTTATTCAAATCTTCTTACCCTCCTACCAAGATAAGGGGGAGGAGTCTGTTTGCTTTTTCTTCACTCACACCTCATCTGCACTGTTCTAAGTGATCTCAGTCACTACTCTTAAAGAGAAACATTCATTCACCAATTCCTCTTGGGAAGATTAGGTTCAAAGTAACACAACAGAATGCCCACGTCCATGTTTTTGCTCTACTGTTAACTCCTTCAGGAAAACGAATAATTAAGAACATCAAGAATTCTTTCCTCTCTGAAATCAATAAAAATATTTTTAAAAAAGAAAATAATAATTCTATATAAATAAGAAAGGTTTGGAGTCAAAACACAGACACATAATAAAACACATCAACCATAGCCAGTAAAATATGTCAATTTACAATAGTTAATTGATAGTGCATAGAATTACAAAATTATATATTACCAACATTCAGTGGTGCTTTTGAAAATATTATTCTTCAACTTCAATGCACAGACTTTTATCTATATAAATATAAAAAGAATATGCAAGCCATTTTTGCCAGGTTTTGATCCCTTACCTCAGAAATAAAAGCACCAATATTTTTTACATGGTTTAGCATCGGAGTGTCGGTCACAAATGTACACTTGTCCTTAGATTTTTTATACTCTTCTCTATAATGGATCTAAAAGAGAGAATAATTCACATAAGAGGGAGACAAAAAAACAATTTCAGTGCTCTGGTGCTGAACAGAAGAATTAACATGAGAAAGTCCATTTTCTGCAGTAAATACTTAAATGTGGAATGATGCGCAAAATAAGCCAAATCAAATAAACTGGTATCCAGAACAGAACTGCAAAATGATGGGCATAATAAAGGAAGCCTTTTCTTTAGATTAACAAGGGTCCGGTTATCGTCAAGGACCACGTGTGTTGAACCCACAATGATGATGATTCCTGCTGCCCAGTTTGTAACTTTTAAGCCACTGACCTTATCAGTGAAGCCTATGGTCAAACAGAAATATAGCTGCCTACCTCTAGGTTTAAAACAAGGAGTCATCAGGACAGATGAAACCATTTAAGAAGGAGAGGCAGAAATTAAACAAATGAAGATTAGTATTATATTAGCATCATTACCTAGACCCACTGGATTAGAGGAAGGGACTTCAATTATGGTCACCATGGGTTTCCTGTTACTAATTAATTCCACTCAAACTTATCCAATTTATGAGCACCATAGGCCTCCCATCCTCCACCCCTTCCTCAACAAAAATAGAACCTGCCCAGAAAGTTTGCCACATGGCTGAGATTATTCCAGAACGCCCCCTTGCTGTGAATAAGCAGATGAGCAAGGAAAAGATCAGAGAGGCTTTGCTGAGCATGCTCATTTCTCCACTTGTACTCACTAGTAAAATGAGTCACTCCTTTTTTTTCTTGGACAGAGGCCAGAATTGCTATTCTGGAGAATGACCCCGCATAGAAACAGGAGCCAAAAAAAAAGTTAGGAATTATGGAGAAGGACCTAAAATGGAATCCCACTATCACACTAACTGCAGCCCAATCTGAAAACTGGGGAGGCAAAATCTACGACTAGTTGAGAGGACGAAGGTATTTGCTAAAAGTTATATCACCCTGTAATAAAGTCATGTTTATCTACCCAACACTATAAATACTTAGGCTGAAAAAAATGTCCCATGGTCTTCCTAATTATAGCCTAAAAGTAAAGTTTAATTCTATATACTCCCTGGTCCTTAAAGGACATGACTAATACTGATGTTACACACAAACATTACATAGGGATTTTACCACATGCAAACCTGATTTGAAGGGCATTATTTGACTGTAACCAGATATGAACATACTAAGCAATGTTATTTCAAAATACCATATTTCACTGCTGTGACTTTTAGATATTATACGCCTACCACATTAAACATTTGCTTTATTCATGAAATCAACATTAGAACATATTTATCTTATCTGAGCACTAAATTACTTTTTTTTTTCTTCTCAGAGATTAGCCATAATTTTAGGTCTCTGCAAATCACCCTCCTCAATCACTAGTAATTAAACCGTTAAAGGCAGTATGATAAATAGCAGGCTATTTTGATCATAGGGAGAGGGGGAAAAGTACCCCTGTTATATAATAAGTGTGAGAGAAAATAACCTGTCATTAGGCTTAAGTCTGCCTCATTATTTTTATCTTCCACCACCATCTTTCCCTCTCACATCCACATTCTTCTCTGCAGTGGTATGTGTGAGGGCCACGGGCTTCCTGATAAGCTCTGACCTGAGCAGAATGTTCAGGAAGGCAGCAGGGATAAGGGTGAAGTACTTACTTCCCTTGCTATGCAGGCAAATAGTTCAGAATTAAGTGTAGTCTCCATTCCTTACTTTGTCCTTTATTTAAAAGATATAAACACACACACACACACACACACACACACACACACACTTCTAATTTCTAATGAATTATATAATACTAGAGGCCCAATGCATGAAATTCGTGCAAGGGGCTCGGCCCTCGGAGCCCTGGCTTCATCCGGAAGGTCATCCAGAAGGTCGTTCAGCCGTCAGTCTAATTAGCATATTACACTTTTATTATTATAGATGAATAGCAATAGCATATTTTCTTAAATTTTTATGTAAAAAAGTCACATATTAGTAGTCTTCCTATTCAAGGAGAAGACAGATGAAACTGTACCAATGAGGGACACAAAATCTTCAGTAAAATAACAATCACTGAGCAGATAGCCATTTCCTAATACAACCATGTATATATTCCTAAGACAAGCATGGCTCTGTCTCTTAGGTGGATTGGCTGTCCAACCCCTGTCTTTCTTAATAACAGAGCCCAAATGTATTTATGAGAGTAGCCAGACCTCTCCCCCAGCCACAGAGTACAAATTGCTCTAAGCCAGGCAGGGTTTTCTCAGTCCCCTTGGCTAGTGATTGGCCTGGAAAGGCCAGGTGCCCAGCAGTGTTCTGGTGTTTCTGGTGTAAAGGGAGAGACTTGCTGGCATAGCCCTTTGCCACATAACCCTTCCACCTTTTTCCTTCCCTTGTCACAGGGACTCAGCAACAACAATGGTGTCACAATACGACCTGAAGCCACCATACTAATTTTAGTATATGTGCTGCCGAAGCGAGCACAACCACCATGCTAATTTTGACAGAGCAGAAGAAAAGGAATCTAAGAAACTAATAGCATCAAATATGCCAAAACTGGACCCCCCTACCTCCAGCCTTCACATGTGAAAAAAATAAATACCCATTTGTTAAACCTCTGTGCCAGGGTTTTCCTGTTACTTGCAACCTTCTGTACTCATAACCAAAACAGCATCCAAGTTACATTCTGACTGAGAAAAAAAGGGAAAGTTGATGATTTAATGATCATTAAGATGACCAAAATATTCACTTTCTGCTTTGACCTCACCCATTAGTCCCACCATGTCTCAACCACAATGAGAGTTAAATTACATCAGTAGTGCTCCCTCCTCCTCTCCCAGTTTCTTTCATTTTAGTATGAGATTAGCTAATGGCTGAAAGGGGATGACAGATGTAGAAACGTTTGAGGATATTTCCTTTTACAAGCATTCTTAACAAAAGTACCTAGAAAGTCTTTTCACAAATGGAGCCATATTGCTAAAGGCAGGAAACCCTGGACGAAAGAACCAGGGCTCCATTGCTATTTGTAACGGGTGCTCCCAGCCAAGGCTGCTCTCTCGGTTCTCTAAGTACATTCAGAGCTTTCTCTGGAGGGGAAACCACGAATCTAATGTTTTCAGCATTGAAAGGACTTGCCCACAACACACAAAGCTCATTTGCCTGGAAACTGTTCTTTCTCCTGCATTGTAGATTATCACCCTAAAAAGGTTTCAACCAAAACACTGAGTCAGAGGCTTCATGCAGATGTGGCCAAACTTGCCCTGCAGAGACTTTATGCCTAATTTATAAGAAACATACAAAAGCTCACCTAGGTTACCCTAATATTTTTAAGTCCACGTGACAAAAGGCCTCTAGATCCATGCTTCTGACTGCTCAACCTAGTCAATAGGTTTGATTTATTCAAGGGATTGAGTAGACAGTTGACCAACAGGCTGAATAACAGAGAGGGGCTAAATGAGAAGCATGACTTGGTTAACAGAAGAAGAGAAGAGGCTGTCTCGGAGGCCAGGTGCTGTCTTCTAGGTTGGGAAGTGAGTTATGCAGAAGAAAACCCCACAACATGAGCAGGGAAAGTGCAAAGCAGAAACTAGGGAGGGCAAAGAAAACTTGAAAAATGCCTCATTCTGATCCTCAGGGTGAAGCCGCCTGATCTGGAAAATGGAGAATTCTAAACAGTGCAGGCCTCCCAGGGCTTCTCTAGACCAATCTGATTTACTATATTAATAAATTATCTGGCAAGGACATGATACAGCAAGTCTGCAGGTCTGCTGGTGACCCCAAGCTCTCAGGGAGCGTGAAATGTCAAACTAAAGGAGCTGAAATGGGGAAGCTCACAAAGGGCCATGCCAGAGGGCAGACAGCTACACATGACATTCTTTCCTAGCAAGGTGAAAATCATTCAAACTACTATGAAAAGTTGATGAGCCCTAAGCAGTCAGAAATTAGGATTGAAACTGGCTGAGAAAGATGTCCTACAAAGGTTGTTCTAATAGCTCTCTGTAACCCCAAGTCCAAGATACCCTAACTATCATCACAAAGGGTACATGGAGCAAAAGGAAAGATCGCCCCACCCTGCCCATACTAGTAACCCCAGGCCATCCATATTTGGACTGCTGTGCACAGATCTGCTTATCACACCCCAATAAACACATTCAAGATCTAGAAGAGGTCCAAAGAGAAACAGTTAGAATGATAATGAAGGCAATATAGAAAGGCTACTATATAAAGATAAACCTGTAAAACAACCCATGAAGCAGACTGACAAGTGGCTCTGGACTTAGCTAGACCTAAGCCTAAATTTTGTCCCCACCCCTAACTAGCCAGGTAGTCTTGGGCTAGACAATCTTGCACCAGCTCTGAACTGAGGCTCATCGAACCAATAACAGAGTACAATAATGTACGTGGAGTGCCTCGCACAGGGCAAGAGAGGAAGGACATCATGTTGGCCATGACTTGGGAGTCGGACTTTGTTTCAAATCCCAGGTCTGTGGCTCACTAGCTATGTAATTTGATCAAAAGAATGTAAGGCTGCTTCTTAAAGCTTCAGTATGTAGTATTCTACCGAGCAGGCAAGTAACACACCAAATTCTCTTGGTGACAGAGGCTGCAGACAGACTTCCTTCAAACAAACAAAAAGGCTCAGGTAAATACATGATTCCCCTTTGGGATATAATGAATTAGAAAACAAAACTAAGGGACTTGAAGGTTGGTCTTTAAATCAAATTAGAGACTAGGGAAAGACAGGCGTACTGAATTAAATGTGGACACTAACAGATGGGCACTGTCAGAGGCATATTGGAGACTTGACTGGAACTCCATCTAACTCAGTGTGTCAACTCATCCATTTTATATGTGTTTTAGTTCTGTAATTAATGCAACCTCAAATACACATTTTAGACAACCATTTAGTCATGCAGACAATATAATAGAGATAACTTCAAATTTAAGTTCATCTGCTCCATATAAAAACATTGGTAGTGCCCTGATTGGTGTGAATCAGTTGCATCAAAAGGTCACTGGTTCGATTCCTGGTCCGGGCACATGTCCAGGTCTTGGGTTTGATCCCCGGTTGGGATGTGTGAAGAGGCAATCAATTGATTTTTCTCTTTCACATGGATGTCTCTCTCTCTCAAATCAATAAAAAACATATTTTTTAAAAAGTACTTCCTCTTTAAAAAATCTATAATAATGAAAGGGTAATATGCTAATTACACCGGACATCTGCCGGATGTCATTCTGGACATTCTTCCTAATGAAGCTGGAGCCGGATGGAAGCCAGCCCAGGTCCCGGGTGCCTGCCAGCAGCTGGAGGAAGGAAGGCCTACTCTTGCACGAATTTTCATGTATCGGGCCTCTAGCAAATGAATAAAAGGATTGGTAGTGTTTCTATTACTAATATCAGTATAAAAATTAATAATAACGGTAAGAAAAACTGCATGGAAATCTAGAGTGAGAGATAACACAGCAGTGTAGCTAAGAGAGAGTGTTTTGTGTTTAAGTCCCCACTGCCTTACTGTGTGACCCAGGAAAGTTACTTGGCCTCTCTGAGCCTTTGCTTCCTCACCTCTAAAATGGGAAAAACAACACAGCCTACCTCATAAGCTTCAATGCCTAGCACATAGCATTCAATAAATCTTAACTATTGCTGATATTATTTTTATTTCAGTATTATTACAGTTTACAACAAACTGTCACATATAGTAGCTTATAACTATTATTAAATAATGGCACTAAGAAATAATTATGTCACATGTCAAGTATATGGGAAGGGGTATGATTTCCACCATCCTTTGGCTCTTTCTGACAAATTTTTGTCACAAGGCAATTTTCTGACAACTTTTTTAATGAGGATCATCTAAATTCTTATTCCTAGTGAGCAATACTTTTCCTGTGCCTCTAGAATTTTAGTTTAATTATTGACTGTAAAAATATATAAATATGAGTGAATTCTACAATTCTATGATTCCCTTGAAATATATAAACTGATTCCAATTAATAAAAAAGTCACAATAAAAATGCTCCTTTTCATTACTATCATCATTATCATCTAGTCTGGAGTTCTTAACATGTAGCTCAATTATCCATAAATTCTAAACTGGAAATCAACATTATATGCACATAGATATTATATGCAATTTTTTTGGTTTGAAAAACTACTGCATTCATCATATTCCTCAAAAGGCCCCCAAATGCTTTTTAAAAAATCATTCATTTATGTAGAGATTTTTCTAAAACATTTCACATCATTACAAAATTAAATATTTACAAATTGTAAAGGCTTTGGGTTCTCAAAGGAATATGCTCTGAATTCGTGAGTTCACTTTACTGTAGATTATCTTTAAGGGATTAAATTTAGGAAACCTTTATAAAGCACTGATTATACAAAAGAAGTAATGTACAGAGTATTAACTTTTTTGTTTCCTTTCTTAAATGAAATTCCTATTGCCAGAATGACCAAAATCCATAAGAAACAGGATTCTGGATTAAGAACACAAAGTCCTGCTCCCACAGAAATTCTCTGTATGGGTGACCTTGGAGAAATTACCTAAAATTTCTAGACTCAGTTCCATGATCTGGAAAACAACCATGTTTTAATAGGTGGTTCCAGGGTTTTCTTTCCAGCTCTATGATTCTATGGCATAATAGTCTACGACACACAATGCAAAATGAGACAAAAATTTCTTAAGCCACTTACATCACTAATGAGTTCGGTGCATTTTCTGGCCAATTCCATGCTCAGGTCTTCAATAACAGGCTTAAAGAATACCTGTCCAGAAAAAGAAGGAAAGGAGACAAACTTCTAATCACCAGCTTACAGGAACAGATAACCTTCTTCAGCAGGTGCTTGCACACTCACCTTGTCTTCTTCATTTTCTTCTTCCTCTGCTTTTTCCTCTTCAGTTTCACCCTTTACATCCTCATACATAGGGACCCTCATTTTTACTCCCTCTCGCTATATGTATGTATATTGTTTTACTTCTCTAATGTAGCATCTGTTTATGTATATGGCACCCTTGAGATCTTAGCATCTCTGGCGTTCTGGCAGAAATGACCTTGCCCAGGCCTCCTCCCTATTTAGCTCACACTTCACTCTCCTTATCATAACTGTGTGTGAGTGGATGGAACAGAATCCCGGAGGTGGACCAGGGCTAGCCTCCTAAGGGGAAATAACATTTCAACGAGCAAAATTCAGTTTTATGAACATTCAAGTCAGCATTTTTTTTAAACTAAGAAATTCAAAAAAGACAACTTATTTATTTTACTCTATTTCAATTCATTCATAAAAGAGTTTAAAAAAGACTTCAAGATTCTGGGAAAAACCACTCAGCTTTAACACTCAAGATAGCACAGTCAGAAGCCTGTTATCTCAAAGAATTCCTCAACTCTTTCTAAATAAAGCTTTCACTAGAATGTCAGACATATCTCTGATTTGGTATAGTGAATCTGGATCATTCAAACTCATTTCATTAACCTAAGTTAAATTTTTTATGAGATATAAACGTACTTGTCACATTCTTAAAAGTACTTTAAATTAGCTGATTAAAGGCTAGTAATTTATTATGAAAAGCTCTTTGAACCCTTCAGAGAATCTATTCCGAGTTAATTATAACTGTTAATCCTATATTGCTATTGTATTATTTTAATTGTAAATATCATTAAACCTGAGAAGTTGCAGTTAACATAGGTTGATATATCATTTAAGAATTCTAGAAACAACATTGTTTCAAAAAATAATAATCATTTCTTTCAATTCTTCCCATGGTGTCAATTTTTACAAATTTGATAGTTATTTTTATATTCTTCAAAACATACTACACACCCAGAAAAGTTTGGAAAAATAAACTACAACAATACTTATAATGTGGTATGTGTCATCGGTTATATAATTAAAAATGTATTTTTCAAAACAAACCCTTTCATGTCAATTTAGGCAATTATAAGATTCTATCCAACTCATAATTTATCAATTTGGTTATTTAAATCATAGGATAAATTAATACTTATACAGCAATCGCAGATAAGCACTGGACATAAAAATACCTTATGGTGAATAATTAAACTAATTATACAAAATATAACTTCATTAAAAAATAATACATCGTTTAAATAGCTAAGTATAATGTTATTTTCTCTTGGTATCAAATCTAGTTTTAAATTTAGTTTTTAAAATGCCTTAGCCTTGCCTAAATTAAAACTTCTGACAAGAAAAAATTCTACATGGTCATCATGTGTAAATAATTTATCAAACTGTGTTCCATGAGGCTAAAGTTCCATAGAACACTCTAAAGGAGAAAAGGGAATTTCTTAAACATGTTTGGGGAAACCTGTACACTAATTTCTACCCCTGCCACTAAAGAGCCACACAGCATAATGACACATTAGAAACTCTGAGAAGACTCACAACCAAGAAAAGTATTTGTTTGCTTAACCCAGCATTTCCCAAACAATGAAATCCTGTCCATCAAATCTATTCTAACCTTCTTACCTACCTATTTATTAATGCTATCTGATATTCCAGAAAACTAACATTCTTCTGTGAAATAGTACTTAGGGTAACTGTTCTATTCTAAAAAAAAGTAATGTGTCCTAGAAGACTCATTGGTCTTTTCATGAAACAATTTTTGATACAGGCTAACTTAATGGCACCATATATCCTGCTTATCTGCAAAATACCAAGAATACTGAATTTGGAAAACTTAACTTTAAAATAACAGCCCTGTCATGCCAGTGTAGAAAATTCTATAAGGAAATTCTCCTCACATTAGAGAGGAGAATATGGGTTCTGACTGATTCCCTCAAGTCCTCTGCCAAAATCTATACTACAGAAGATCGATTCCATTATCTTTATTTGGAAATATGGAAGAGCATTTTCTATAAGCTTTTCTTGCAAACTTCTAGTGGTGTAGGGGAAAAAATCTTGCCACAGCTGCCTAAAATTCACCTCTTGGCTATTGTTTGAGGTGACAATACTTGCATTGCTCATGATGACATCTATTCACCATGGTGAATTACCTTCATCATACTTCTGGTGAATTACCTTCATTAGACTTCAATGGCTGCTTTTTCTCATTTCCCATCATGTAATAAGTTCTCAATGACTCTTCACTGTGCTGGAAGAAAATAATTTGTTGAGATTATATACAAACATTATGAAAGCAAAACCAAACACCATATGTGAACATAAATTTTCCATTTGAGATATTAGAATCAAAATTTTTAAGCCACGGAGAACCTTAAGAAATCAATCCTACTAAAGCCCTCTTTTTTACAGAGGACAAAATTATGATCAAGAGAAATTATTTGTTTCACTCAGAAAATTATTCAATGGGGCATTAGGACCAGAATTTAACTAGAGCCCTAAGTCCATGCATTCAAGTAAGTGTGTTATACCAGGCACTGTGCTTGGTGTCAGAGATGCAGTGGTGAGTAAAACACACTTAGTACTAATATAAGATAGGGAATAAGAAACGCATCATTCAAAACTTGCTGGAGGAACCCCTTAATGGATTGTTTGGAGAGCTAGACACATTAGTACTTTTGATTGAATGCATTTTTCCTTTCACCTATAGATATAATACAAAATTCATGTAAAGTTTTCTCTAAAACATTTTAAACCCTGCACTTTATCACAGCAGAGCACTCTTGTCAATAGCTTCAAAATGTCACTTGGGGAATAAGAAGAAAGTGTTATTCATGGATAGCTATCACGTTTCAATAGTCCCTATCATCCGCTTTAAAAAAATAAATATTATATTTTAATACATATTTTCACCGTAGGGAGTCCCAAAAGGAAAATTCTGTATAGTTGCTAATCCCTATTACTTAGTGAGCATTTCATTTTATGTAATGTACTCTTTGCATTAATACTCTATCCATGCCCTGATTCAGAATGAGGATCACCTTACTCATAGCCAGATCCCCTACTTCCAGGACTGGCTCTCTCATATCTTCTAGGACAAATTATTCAATCCCTCTCTGCCTCTCATTGAGAATCAGTTCTGAGTTGAGGAAAACTTACAGAGATAAACTGATTTTTTTTTCAGAGGGGGGTGAATGGCGGTAGAAGAGGGCATAGAGAGGATAAAGGGTAATGGAAAAAAGAAAAAAAAAAGGATGCTTTTATTCATTTCAACAATTCAGCTTTGCAGTAAAAGACAAGAAAGCAACTGTGAGCTAAAGCCCATATTTGCATTAGTACCAGTCAATGGAAGAAGACAAAATAACTTATTTTTAATTATATTCAAGGTGTTTGTCCTATTAATGTGAAAGTTAAACATGCAAAAATCAATTTCACTGATGAAATATTACTTTCCAGCATATTAGAAAAAGAAATAAGATTACTCCAGATATAAAAAAATTAATTCACCAGTTCTTATTATAAAACATTCACTGTAAATGGTTAGGTGAGAGAGGATTCAGTTCATCTGACTTGTTTCTCTGCTTTCCTAGTCTTTCACATACTCAATTTTAGTTGCCTTGGTTTTTGGTTTTTATTGTGGTTTTCTTGTTGCTGTTATGTTTGTTTGCTTGTTTGTTTTTATGACTACCTCCCAGAAGGTTCTCAGTTGAATTCCTGGTTATTTTACTTTTGCTTCATGTAGCTCCCCATCATTTGGCATCTGTCCAAAAGAGAACTTTACTAATAGATGGGGGGCGGGGATGGAAGCATGGTATCATTCCTTAAAACAAGAAAAGTAAGCTCTCTAGAGCAACTTGTCTTCTTTATAAAAGAGTTCTGCTTAATATTAGCTCCATCTATTTTTACAGTTTACATTCATTAAGCCTATCTTATTTCTAATAGCTATTTCATTACTGTTTGTTAAGTAGAAATCAAAAGAATTCAAAGCAACTTGGATAATTGTCACCTTTACCAATTATGCCATTAAAATAAGATTTAATAGAGTGTTTGTCTGTGTTCCTATTCCTGTCTTCACAAATATAGATCCTACTTACAAATGAAACCCACACATCTAACTTGGTATTGGGGGAGTAGGAGAACAAGAAACTGCAAATAACTTTTGACATAACAATTTCCAGGTTGGTTGTGTTTGGGATCCAAAATTAAAAATATGTACTCTTCTAGATATACTGACAGGAAAAAAGTATTCTTATTCGGAGTCTACATTAACATAAGCACCCAGTAGACTGAAGGACATTGGTCTAATTTGCTACTTACTTGAGATATTAGTTCAGCTTTAATAACAATGAGGTTAAAACCACAATCACTTCCACAATCCTGCACACTAAGAGAAAAGAAGCTCATGGTTTGAGTAGCCTCTATGTGGCCTGTAACCAGAACTAAAGGACCAGGCAGGATCAAACAGTTTGGCTATCCTCAAAGCATCCCTCTTCTGAAGTTTTGTGTGAGATGTCAGGAAAAATTGTAAAAGACTCTGAAACTAGCAAATAATAATAATAATCATCATCAGAAAACATTACCTGGTGTCTTATCTGGTGTTACCTTCTGGCTAATTTGGCCTTTCACTGTCTTTGAACAATTTTACAACCCTTTAAATTGTTAATAACTGATAACAATGCTATGATGCTTTATCCACAAAAATGAAAGTTGTTTCCTGGGGAAAGCAATTGGTTACTGCCTTATTGATATATCCTTTGGACATCTATTTATAAATTCGGCATTCCTTATTACTCATTTATGTGTGGTTCTTCAAATTCACCTTTGAACCAATTTTAACATCTTACTGGTACCCTAATTAATTAATGAGTTAAGATCTTTAAAACATGTTCATTTTATGTTTTTTGAGAATCAGGACTTCACAATTTTTAAAAAAAATCCTTTCACAGATACAAATGATTTAATTATCCTCTCTCCTTTCCTTTAATGTTCAGCAAAAAATAGAAAGGGAGAAAGAATTCCATAAAGCCCAATTCTCTCTATTGTAAACATAGCTGCAACAATTCTTGTTGTTTATTGAA